TGTTAATTTTGCCAATCAGAGGATAAATTATTCAGGCTTTTGCGGGTTTCTTTCCTCATTCCAATTGATGTTAAAAATACAGAATCTGAGGAGAACTTAATGTCCAGTCTGCATGTGATTTGATGAAACAATTGCCTTAGGACCTGCTGACATTCTAATTGGAGTCTGCATAATGCAGAATCAGAACCTTACTTACAGCAGTGCTCTCTTTATTCCAAGTATCCCTCTGCTAATTTCATTTAAATAACTCCCTCATTTAAATTTTGAGTAAAAAACCCCTAAAATCAGTGAATAGTTCTTATTAACTTCAGCAAAGGCAAGAATTCATCATCTCTCTGCAAAACTTTGTGACTGTGCTGCTCGTTACTTGTTTGTCTTCTCTGATGGCTTCCTCTCCATTTTTTGTGGGTCTGCTGTTGCAGCACCTGAAGATTGAAGGAGTTTTAAGATTCAAGGGTCTTGATCTGCATAATGAAAATATTTAGTCATGTGCAATTGAAGCAATGGTTGGTAGTTCTTATTATTCTTCTTTCTTCTCAGTTCTCAGCTTTTAGGATCACCATATTTTACATGAAAATCTGAAGTTTTCATATGCAAGAAGTAAATTTCTAATTCTCATGCTTCCAGCTCAGAAGCATAAATTTTCAATACTCACTTCCAAGTAAGTGAGTCAAATGACTAAAAAAGAAACCCCAAAACCATACTTCCAAAAAAACCCCTAAACCAAAATCTGCAAACAAACAAGAAAACCTCAACAAAACCCTCAGGAAGTGACTCACAGTTTTTGAACTTTTGAGATTATTGCTGTTATTAAAAAAGTTCCTCTTTTAGATATTTTTTGTGTTTGCTTGTTTTTTTGTTGGTTTGCATTTCAGATGACTCTCCTGAAGTCAAAGGCAGAACATGGTCCTACAGAATGCTACCCTATAAAATATTTGTTTCCATTTGTTGTGTGTAAAATTCATGCCTGGGCAGGTGGTTTTTACATGTGCCTGCATTTACATCTCTATTTAAATAAAGCCAAGGATGAATTTCACACCACAAGAATGTGTATGAAATGCAATTAATAATCTGGAGCTTACATTTTTGTAATAGAAAGTTGATCTCATACAGGTAGGGTTAATGAAGACATGAGCATGTTTACAGTAAAAGGTGAGAAAATTAATTTCCGGAGTGAGGATGTAGCCAATCAAACCTGAATGGAGTTGTTTCATGTGCTGAAACTGTGGGTGACTCAAAAAGGAGAGATTTTAAATTTCTCAGGAAAGTAATTTCAGAGTAACTTTCAGTCACCAGCAGAGGAGGTAGAGGAACCTTGATTTTTGAGATGCAATACCCAAAGGTACTTTAACATCAAGGGCTTTATTAATTTCCTATGTAGTATGCTATGAAATTGCCATCCTCTTCTGCTTTCCACCCCATGTGCTATGTGAGCAGCTTTCAGTGCAAATGTTGAGGTCAGGCAAGGTCACCAGCTGGTTTATTAGTGAAAAAAATAAGAAAAAAGGTTTCCTTGGCTTGCTGCCTCATCAGAACTAGAGCTCTAGCCCAGTGACCAAACTTGCACAGGATTTATCTGAAACAGTGACATTTTCTTATAGTGGCTGGTAATAAATTCAGAAAGACAAATTGTCAGGATATTAAAAATGAATCTTCTCTCTGTACATTTCTGAAAAGCAGTAAGTCATGAAAAACTTTGATACTGCTTGTCAGTGAATATAGTATCTGTAGGTCTGTGTAGCCATGACTCCTCGGTTTGCTTTTCAGACTTCTACCCCTTCAGACTTTCCTGAGCAAATGATGTTTGCTGCAAAATTGCCATTCCCTCAAGGATGTGGCTTTTTTCTAGTGATGGGTAAAGGATTATTTTGTACTAATTGCCCAGTACTTGACTAACTCTGTGAACAATATTTATATATTCTGAATTCTACGTATGACATTTAAACATATTTTTAGTGTATTTAGCTGAGGTCTTTCTTTAGGCAACTACCAGCTCATAAAACATTTTATGTCTAAAAATGTGAAATCTACATGATGCTTAAATTCAGAATGTATTTTTTTGTCTCTGACACAAATCTCTTTGGCTTATTTTTTCAAGTTATAGTTCTTCCCAAAGTGAAGAGCCTCAAAAGAAATTATTTTAATGAGACAGTTCAACAGAAGAAGTTTCTTTGAGAAAAATAAAAGAATAATTGTGCTTACAAAAGAAAATTAATTAAAATCTCTCAATGTGATGATAGATTTAACACCTTGTCTGACATGTTGAGAAGAAGAAATTGCCTGGAATTGCACAAGTAGAAGAAAATGTTCCATTTCACAGCAAGGCCAAGTCTGAGTCTTGTAATTATTTCAAAGAGAGTAAAGGTCACTTTCTATTTGCTACATCTGTATTATGTGAGGCTTCTGTACCAGGCATACAGAAGTTTAACTCCTGACCTATTTAGATTGCCCAGATTTCAAAGTCAATTTATACTGTCACAATCTGATCAAGAAGGGAATATGTCTACTTTAAGTACTGACATAGTTGATGTCCAAAGGAGGCTTTTATTTATAGCTCCTTAAGACAAGAGTTTCAACTGCAAGATGTCAGTAGCTGGGAGATCAGAACATGATTTACCTCTTACTTGTTGTGTTAATCTTTTAGAAGAGTTGTTTGTACTTACATTTCAGCATATATTGCTTGGGCTTTTTTTCTGATGTGGGCTTGTTATATAACTCTGCCTCAGTTGTTGCTTGCATCTTGAGATCAGAAGATTTTCCTTCTGCTGTGATTACAATTTAATGTGTATTCATTCAGTCACCCCATGAGTCAGAAAGGTACTTTAATGATGCACCTGTGCACACAGAAAAGGTGTGCAGAAAATGCACCTCTGCCTTTCTGTACATGTAATCATTCAAATGTGTATCATGCTATTCATTTTTATAATTAGTAATCAAGTTTTATGCACATTTTTGAGGGCAGGCTCTGAGTATGCAAGTTTACATTTACAGTTACCTCATACTTGGATGTATCTTCTTTAGTCTTCAATTCTCTACCCCTATAGAGTGCACAATCACATATAAAGCCAGTGTATCTGGGTCAGTAATTGAATGAGGCTGTGTTTGTAGGCATTGGTAGGAAAGGCAGCAGTTATGTGGATATACACAAGAAAAGTAGTGCATTGAACCTTACGTAGTCTTTTCCTTCTTTCTTGATTAATCCTTCAAAGGGGACAAACATAGAGAAGGTCAGAATGGAAGGCAAAGGCCTCCATCTACTGCATCTGATTACCACCAGCTTAATTGTCATGAAATTTTCTGGCTATTTGGTCTGCTAACAATTCTAGCCAAGATTCTACAGCAGGTGTCAGTGGCATGAAAAAAATGGTCCAGCAGTTGGTTTCAATAAGAACAACTAATGCAGACCAGGTGGGGTATTGCTGACTTTCATTTTTATAAATGGGATCACATAAAACTTAGAGGAAGTGTGAAGTGCATGAAGGGAGAGGAGATAATGTACTGCTCTGATTTAGTAAATAGACTAGGAGTGGTTGCTAAGAGGGAAATATGAAGATGTTCCATTTTTGCAGAATCTCTCCATAGAATCAAGATCAGCATACCTAGATGGTGATGTGGTGGAGGTAGAACTGAGAAATGAGTGAGGTGCTGATATTGGGTTGGGAGAAGTGAGAGGGCAGTTTGTCACCTGAACTGGTGAGGGGGAAAGGAGCCTTCAGCAGTCACCTGTTTGGTAGGGGGGAGACATTGTCCTCACTTTACCACTGGAGAACTGTATTTGAGAACTTGTAATCATGTGTTGAGGAGATATTGAGTAAATAAATCCATTTGTACAGGGCCTCTTGAATTTTCGAACTAATGTTCAGAACTACTGTGACAGTTTTCTTCTTAGCCACTATGTGTGCCCTCTCCCCTTAATTTTTCTTTGGCTACCCAATAAGCAGCAGATTGGCCATAACAATTTTGGGATCAGAATATTCTGTATGCCAGCTGAAAGTCAGGTTTTGCAAAACACTTTTGGAGGTTCTGAAGCAGAAAATACTTTTGAAAATGTGGTTACACATATATAGGTTGAAAAAATACATATTTGGCTTTTCCTACTCTTAAAATTGCCTCCTTCTGCCTCCCTCTTTAACCTTTTAAACTTTTTAGTAATTTTTTTCCTCCTGCTTTTTTTCTCTGACATGCTTACCTTCACGCTCTCATTTAAAAACTGCCAAGAAAAATAGCCTCTCAGGTTGTCTCTATTCAGGGGTAGAAAAAAACATTTTCAGAGACTGAGATTAACATCATACTTATTTCCAACCAATTTTATTTTGCTTTTAAGCTTCTACCTTTGAGGTGCTCTTGTATTGACTGGGAATTTGGTGACCATAAAATGCATTCAACTTTTGCCTTCAGATCCACCTCTACTATGATGCTCGTAATTCATTTTCTGTCTTTCCTGGGTGTAAACAAGCTTTTCATTACAAGGAAGATGAACAAACAGTGGCTCAGAGAGGGTGGGGGAAAGGCAACCGTTGGCATTTTTTAGCAAAGAAGTTTTTATAAAGGAAGGCTGTGTTGTGAAACTTCACCCTTGAATAAGTAATTCCTTCTGTAACTTAGTGATCAAGCTTCTGAAACTAGGGTTGCAGACGCTAATTTATCAACTATTTACATCAACTTAAAAGTGCTTAATTTAAGCATATATTTAAGCCTAGTTATTCACCTGTGGTTTTAGGAGTGGTATTATATTCTATGTTTTCACAAAGACCACTAATATCTTTTATTGTAACCTGAACTGAACCACAAAACCTACTGTTTTATGATTTCCATTATCAGTCTGTAGATGTAAAAGCAACAAACTTACAAGAAGAGCTTAGAAACATTTGAAGGGGAAGTTGGGTGGGATGGATATTTTGTTTTACGACTGCTGAGCCTAAACCCAGTATCATTCCCAGAAGCTATGATGACTGTTGAATGAGTAGATGTTAAAAGTCCTTTTCTTTATTTTTCCTCAGGTTCTGCTGCTTTCATGTGCAGAAGGTTTAGAATGTGTCCCTGGTTTCCAGCAAAAGGTTTTTTATATTGAGCAGCCACTTGAATTCACAGAGGACCAGAGAGTTCTGAACCGTATGTTATCTTTATATATTATTATACAAAAATCAGAATTGCTTATATATTCATATCACTTCTTCCATTTATCAGAAAGCTTTTCTTTGTATATAAGATTTTGAATATTGCCACGATTTTAGGTTTCCTTGGATTAATCCAATAACTCTGACTACTCTGTTCCATGTACTACAGATAGCAAGATACTATAGAGAATCATTTAGGACAATATGAACATTGTGGAAACTTGAAATCATCCACTTGCTCCTTAGAATCTTAAGCAAGCCTTGATTTCCATCAGGATTTCATTGATCATTTATCTCTGCAACTCAGATGTAGAGGCTTATGTCCTAGAAGTTTCATTCAAAGCTGGTACAAGCCCAAGTTTTACATGAAGTTCAGAGGAGACTGGATGAAGCTTGTGATTTTTTTGCTGTTGCTGATAGTTACTAAATGTCACACCACTGAGATATTCAGTAATATTCCAATGACCAGGTGTCACATTATAAAACCCAATCTGGCACTGTAATATTGAAAGCATTAAACTGAAAGAGATTTAACTGACTTTGAGTTCTGGTGTTAGTGCACTTTAGTAAGCAAGTGTTACAATCTGTACATTCAGTTCTGTGCCTTTGGGACTTCAAGACTGTCAAACTAAGATAGTACTTTATCCAACAGTTAAGGATTTTGAAGACTTAAAAGAAAATAATAAAAAATGCTAAGTGCTGCCATTTTCCTAACTTCTAGATGTGCCATTTTTACTTGTGAAACATTTTACTGATAGTTCCTTCTTCATGCTTGGTTGCTTGCTGTTGAACCAGGAATTTTTCCAGATATGCTGCATGAGACAGTAGTGCTTGACATCTCTATGCAATATTTAGATCCTACAGTGTGATACATGGGGATAGTTTGGAGAGACAAAAAAATGCAAAGCAAGCTATTCATTAAATACATACATTTCCCATCTCTGCTCCCTCCAGGTATTTTGCACATGTTGATGTATTTCCACTGTATATATGTATGTTTGGGTGAGGGTTTAATATCTGTGCACACTTGTTTTAAAATAGCACTAACTTTTCAAACTGAAATTGCAAAATTAGTTGCCAGAGTCTACTGAAGTGACTCTCACTTCAATGACTTCTCAACTGGAGTCATTCAGCTTTTAACAGATGCTGAAAAAAACTTTTAGGATAACATTTTTAGTCTAATGATTTTGATAAGTTGCTTAGTCTGAGTCACATTTTCAGAGGAAATGTAGATAATAAGTAGTAATGTTATTCAGAGATTTCAAACTCCTAATTTTTTAAGGCAATTTTTTTCCTTTTAAATTCTTTTATTAAAGAGTTGATGAACACATTCCTACATGGTTAAAAGGAAACATTCACAGAGTATAGGAAGTATAACAGATTGAATAAGCAGGCAAAGTTGAAGACATTCCTAATGGAAAGCAATATGAACAAGTTAGTGTTAAGCTGAATAAAAATAACTTTTGCTGTATTCTTTGGCTGCTTCTGAACTTTGAGGCTGTAGCAAGTCTGACCAGATCTGATTTGTGGTTGTCTTTCCAAATGCCTAGAGGATGAGTTGGTTAAGCCAAAGTCAACTGGGCTGCCCTGTGGTCACCCAGCAAATTGCACTGGTGTGAAACTAACGCAATTATTAAGACAGCATCATTAATGCAAGGAGAAGGAAAGAGCAGGAAGAGACTTAGAAATGCCTGGAAACAATCTTCAGAATCAAATTATTTTAATCAGGAGATGCTAAATTGGCCTAATATATAATGTTTGATGAAAGCAGAGTGTCAATGCGCGACTCTGGTTAATTCTATCACTTGTAAACAGTATGTCCTTCATGCAGAGTGTTAAACCTTTGCAGTTTCTTCATTGTATCTGTCACTAGAATTGATATTTTTAATTTTCTGTTTGAATATACTTCGCACGTTCTTGCATCTTTTTATGCCTGTTGCCCAAGAGCAGTGGAATTTAGCAGTTGCATTGCAATGTGAGGCTTACCAGGGCTATGTAAATTAATAGAGCAAATATGCAAAGGAGGCTTGTAGTAGTGATTGCTTTTGTAGTTCTCTGTAAGCCAAGGAGCTCCTTAATTTTTTTCTGAAGTGCAATAAAACAGTCTTGTCTTATTTTTCAATTTAAACACGGACCCACTGTACATCTCATTGCTAGTATCTCCCTTGTAATTAAATATAGGTTATGGCTGGCTTTTATCTATTTATTACTCTACATATAGAAATAATTATATTTTACATTTACTCATGAGAAGAAGGAAGAGAAGCCCATACTAAGGGTACAGAGTTGTATATTTCATCTTCAAAGCCTGGCCATACTAATTGCATCAGTCTGGAAGTGTGTGCACACCCTCCTCCCTGTTAGTGTCACTGCAATTCTGTTGCTATTTCTTAGCTTCTGTGTCATTCTGATCATACTGAACTGCTTTTTTTTTTTGGGGGGGGGGGTTACCACTGCATCAGACTTAACAGTAACCTCCAGACTGGATCTATTTTATTATCCTAATTTTGTTAATTTTTCCTAATTTTGACTTTTTTTTCTTATCAGATCCTTTTATCTCATTATTTGTTTTCTATGACTGCAAACAGAATTGAGGATTGCTCTCCTAATTTGAGTCTGTCCACTTCTTCCTGGATGCAGTTTTCTTAAACCAGATGTTCCCTTGATATAGTGGGTGGAGGATTTATAGGGTCACTTCCTGGAAATACTAGAGGGTTTGTCCATGGATTTATTTTTTTAACAAGCATTGGCATTATTGAATCTTCCTTCCTGATACCTTTTTTCAGTTTGGACCTAGGACCATCTTCTGCAATCAGATAAAGGTTGCTACAGTCTTGATAAGCTGTTAATTGCCAACATTTAATGACAGGTTTTACACTTGTCTGAAATATTTCTCCATGAAATACTTCCCCATCAGCAAGCTTGTCTTTGGCAAGGCTGACAGATCACTTGTAGTGACAATGCTCTGTCATGCCAGGCTGATAGAAAGCTCCTAATCAGACTCATCAAATGTGGAAATGTAATTGTGTTCAATTAATCATATTTGTACTTAACATACATGAGTCTTGGCTTTTGGGGGTATTTTTAATTGACAATGAATCAAATAGTGCACTTGAAAAATTGAGGCAATTAACATAAAGGCATTAGGTGATGTGTTGTGAATGCTAAACTGGGGAATACATTGCCAGTGATTTAAATGTCAAAACAAAGCAAGTTTTGACCCTTACTTGAAGAGCTTTAATTTTGATGTTAATTAATGGCTGACCTCTTCTGTCTAATGTGATAGATTGCATGTTTCAGAGCTTGGGCTGCTTCAAGATCAGGGCTTTGTCTGTCTGCATCTGGGTGCTTTTTTTATTCTGTGGATTTTAACAAAGACTTTTCTATTCAACCATATTGAAAATCTTTATTTACTCATATGATGGGAAATATATTAGTCTGCTTATCATTAATGCTTAAAGGCAGTTCTTCTGTTGTCTAGCAAAGCTGTAGCTTCCAACATGATTTCCTCTGTTCAAACTGAATAATACCCATAGAAATATCAGAGAAGATCATTCCTGC